GGCGAGCGACGAGCGGCGAAGCGCGGCGAGCGATGAGCGGCGAAGCGCAGCGAGCGACGAGCGGCGAAGCACGGCGAGCGACGAGCGGCCAAGGCGACGAACGACGAGCGGCAAAGCGCGGCGAGTGGCGGCGAAGCGCGGCAAGCGGCCAAGGCGGCGAGCGACGAGCGGTGAAGGAAGCGCGGCGAGCGGCCAACAAGAAGCGTAGGTTGGAAGCGAAGCGTCGTTCGTGGATGGGCGCATGAGCACTGAGCAGGTAATTCGGGTGGTGGGTTTAGAAAATATGGGTTACAATATGGGTCAGCTGGTGACCCATATTTTAACCCATTTTTTGGGCATTATATATTCTCTAACCCATTTGAGCTTATTTTTTAGAAAAGTGAGTTACCCAAATAGATATGGGCTTCCTAAAAATGAGTTATAAAATGGGTACGTGACCCATTTTGCCGGCCCTAATTATGTTTGGACTTTTAAAAATTAAGATGTAAGTATTCTTACTCTTTTGGGAGAATTTAAAAATATTATTTAAGTTTATCAAAATAGGTTCATGTGAATCTAACTACGTGTCAACATTTAGATGCTTTGAAAGTTTGGGATGCTTGAAATCAAACAAAGTCACGGCGTTTGTGCCACGTGATTTGAAAAAAATAGAAAGTAAAAATAATCCAAAAACAAATTTATGCATGACTCTGGTATAATCCCTCAAATAAGCCAAAACAACTAAGGCGTGTCAATAATTCATTGAAGAAACTTAAAATTTTATATATATGGCCATAAAATTTAGGAATAAAAGTGAAAACCATCTCCAAGTTTTGCACTCATATGAATTTGATAATTCACTTTCCAAAATTAATTACTTGCAACTCCAGAATAAATCTCAACCTAAAAATAACAATTTATCCTTATGCAAAGACAAAACTAAATATCCCCCAGCCTCCCGACGATCGAGAAGCACTCACGGTGGCACGAGATTTGGATGACCGGTTAAGTTTAGGTCTTAGATTTGTGTAGGTGGCCTTGATCTAATACGTGAAAATCGAATATGTGACCTACAATTTTTTAATTGAAAATCCCATGACGTTCTAACCAACTATGCTAAGCTGGACATCAATTAATTATATAATTCAATATAAAAACATATCATTTAAAAATATATTTAAGAATGTTGAAAATAAACTATATTATTTAAAGACATTTTCATTTGTCCATTTTTTAAAATTTAGAATGAATTATCAAAGAGAAGTTTAATTAAATAATGGGATAAGTGCACTAGAAATCTTAAAACTTGTTATGAAAGTGCTATTGAGTCCTAAAACTTTCAAAAAGTGCAAATTAAATCATAAAACTTCTAAAATTGATGCAAGCAATTTCTTCCATTAACATTGTTAGTTTGACTAACGAAAAATATTGACATGGCATTTTTTTATTATTTTCTTTATAAAATATCACTTAAATTAAAAATATAAAAGGGTAAAATTTTAAAAAAACCAAACTAAAAATAAAAGAATGATAGGGCCCTTGCCCAAAGGGCGCCACCGCTGCCGCCCATTGCCTAGGGGAAATGGGCTACCTCGACCCACACCTAGGCAAGCCTCGCCGGCCCTTGCCTAGCACCAACGAGGCCTCACTTGGGGCTAGCGAGGGCCGGCATCACCCAATCGCCTAGATTTGGGCGAACCTCATCGGCCCTTGCCTGGGGCTATTGAGGCCTCGCCCTCTCCTAGGGTTGGGAGGGCCGATGACCTTCGCCTGCCCTCACTAGTTGTGGGCGACGATAATGCCCCTCTGACAAGGGCTTTGCTATTTTTTTTTTAGTTTGGTTTTTTTAAAATAAATTTTTAGCATTTTTTAGTTTATTAATCTAATTTAGATAAGATTTTGAGAAGAAAATAACAAAAAGCTACCACGCAGGAGAAAGAAAATAATAATAATAAATGACACGTCAATGTTTTCCGTAAGTCAAATTGACAATGTTAACAAAATAACTCGATTGCACAAATTTGATAAGTTTAAGGACTATTACACTTTTTGAAAGTTGTAGGACTTAATTGCACTTTTTTAACAAATTTTAGAACTTTAAGTGCATTTATCCCATTAAGGTCAAACGTGAGCCAAATAGCAAAATTATGCCATGTGGCAATCATTGAGTTAAACTAAAGTGCGACGTGATGACTGAACGACTATTTTCGCAGCTCCAACTTTAACTATATATAATTTATTTTCTGGACATGTTCCGAAAGCACTAGTTGATATGAAGTCTTTTATTATTTAGATATCAAATAAGGTATTTAGAATTTTAACAATTAAAATTGCAAATATCCGTTAATTTAAGCAGAATTCTAGTGCATGTTAAAAAGGATAAATCCATCACTGATACTTTTACTTTTGCACTAAATTCAAAATCGTCTCTAATTTTTTTTTTTCAAAATGGTCTCTTTAATTTTTAAAAGATCTATAGTTTATCCGTAGGTCATTCCGGCAACAAACCAACAGCTATAATTGATAAAAGATTTTAAAAAAAAATTTGATACATGGCTATAAATGAAAAATCATACAAAAGTTTTCGGCAAGCAATTGGATAATGCAATGGTAAGTCTTAGGAATATTTGCAAATACCATTTTAAGGTTTGGCACTCATTTGTATTTGCATCCTCACTTTCGAAAATAAACTAGTACCATTATGAACCAGAAATTTCAACCAAAAAAAAAAACCCAGAAAAGAAAGTAGAGGAATAATCTTGAATTTCAGTCAATTGTACAAGGATCACAAGGATCGCGAGTGACACTATCCCTTTTTATGTGCAACATAATTTCGCTTAAAATTGTACATTTTTGCATGTTTAATTGTTAAAATTTAAAATAATCCTATAAGATTTCTAAATGATAAAAGTACCATATTAATGCGTGCTTTAAAATCCTATAAAAGTGTATTAATTTATTAATTTATATATAATTATAGTCGAAATTGAGAGAATGTTAACTCCTATACTCACCACATCGCACTTCACTTTGGCTGAGTGATTGCCACATAGCGGGACACATGGCATAATTTTGCCACTTGGCTCACATATAACCAATAAGCATTAACTTATTAATTTGCTATGTCCAAACTTCATTTTGCCTATTTAGTCTAACTTGTCCAAAAAAGGTATAAAGGAAAATATCTTTAATTACGTATTCTTAAACGATATGATCCTATATCAAAATTATATAATCCATTTAATTTAGCAAAACTCATTTAATCTACTATCTATTCCATGGTTAAAGTCGTACCGAAGACATGAATTTCAATCTGTCTCTGCCACGTGATGAGATACATGACATAGATTTAGCTTGTCCGTGCGATTACATCCGACTTGTTCCGCAATTGGGGTGCATTAGGAACCCAATTTAACCCAATCTATTTACTATCTTGTCCCAATGGTGCGTGTCACAGACATGTTTGGGGAAAAAAGTATAGGGAAAGAAAATGAATGGAGGGAAGAAAAATGGAATGAAAGTGAGTGGGAAGGAAACTAACATAATGCTTAATAACATTCTTAATAAAACTTTTATGTGGTTACTAACTTTTAGTGTCCTTCTATGGACCTGTCTAAAAAACAAAATGAGACCACATCTCGTATGGAAATTTTTACTGAAACTTAGGATAGTTAAAAAAAAGGATTAATATCACGAAAAGTCTCGAACTTGTACATCCATGCCATATTTATTCCAAACAGCCTAATTTTCATCGAAATCAACCTGGTTGCTTGCTTCCATGAATATCTTCAGCACCTTCAGCACTTTTTATAATGTTTGATCTCCAACAAACAATATGTTGGTAAGGTCCAAAGATAATTGTTGGTAAATTGCAAAACAATTAGTAATTTAGAAATGATTAAATAAAAAGTTGGTAAGTGAATCAAATACTATTCACTAAGCTAAAACTAGTCGGTAACTTAATGGGAGATATGTTATAGTTAATAACTTTAACACATAGTTAATATCAAAAATTAAAAGTTGATAGGTTATTAAGACAATTAGCAACTTCTGAAGTACAAGTAAATGTTACCATTCAAAACCTGTTGCTAGCTTACAAATTAGTTCCAAGGTAAACAAGTTTCCGGTCAACGTGTTACACAGTTACCAACGCTTTCAAGAATTTACCAGCAAGGAACTGTCTTCTGTATTTTTGCCTCACGGAACACGAGCAATCTGCAAAATTAAGGCTTTCCAACGAAATCATGCTTCTGATAGTATTTTCTTGTGAGTTGCTAATTGTGCAGGCACCAAAGCCTCCCCCAGTTCCAGGTAACATTCTACCCTCTCTCCCAAGCTTTAGAACCAGTGTGGAAAAAATAATGTCATGGGAAGCAGTAGTGTGCAACCATAATACTAGATTTTTAGTAGCTATTGCAGAATGATCTAGCTGTTATGTATTGCAACATAAAAACCCAAAACATATGCAAGTCTACCATACGTCACATGAGCCCTGGGATTAGTTACTGTTCTAAGTAAGGATTACCTGTACGTTAAGAGATCGATTGCGACCTCCGAACGAACACATTTTGATCAAAATGCCTTAATAAAAAATCGCACTCACTCAGAAAGAGTCCGTATTTCTCATCTTCGACAATGATTAATGGGAATAGTTGGGTGGTCTGACAATGAATGACTGCGAGATTTGAAACATTTCATTTATACATCGGCACTCTAGGCAATGGCAAGGGGCTATATTCACCTCTCAAATGTGCTGGCTAGCATAATGCGGAAAACAAATTTGTTCTCAGGAAACTGCGGAAAATCCATCAGATAAGTAAGGAGAAAGCCCTCTAATGTTTAATGAGAATGAATGTTGCCCAATGCAAGTACTGTGAGAGTGATGGATCAAAGATTCATGCGATCAAAAACCAATGTCACAGAAGTTTGGTTGTGTCAAGTTAGCGATACTTATTCCTGCTTCAAGGAAAATCAATGTCCTCCAGTCAGTGAAGTGAGCACTGTGTCCGGAGATGTTGGCCTGAGTTCTTATGATGATCAACTTCTCTCAATAAGCTTAAATTAACTTATGACAGGAAGTACACTGTTAGGATGAAAAAGACGGCAAAAAAAATTCCCTACCCAGCTGACAAACACAGAAGCCTATTTTATTCAGTATCAAGCATGTCGAATTTTCATGCGCCACCCTGTCAGGCATCTCAAGGTCCGAGAAGCGAATCTTGTCAACATGTAACTTCTCACAATCACGTATGTGTAAAGACTTCAGTTTCTTGAAACTTGACGGATCAGGCACCTCAACCAAAGATTTGCACCCTTCTATGCACAAGTCTTCCAATGAATCCAGTATTCCTTGAACCTCCACGAGATTTTGACACTGTCCTAGATGTAGTTTTGTGAGCTTCTTCAAGTTCGATAAATCTGGCAATCTCTCAAGCAGAGGAAGTTCACCTAGCTTTAACATTATCAAATTCTCCAAATCCTCAAAGCTTGGAATTTCAGTTAGACCATGGCAGTCCCAAAGGTGAAGTTCAGTGAGCTTCTTCAAGTTTGAGAGATCAGGTAATCTCTCCAGCAATGGAATTGCTATAAGCTTCAAAGTTCTGAGATTCCCCAAGCCGCTAATACTTTGAACATCAATCAGATTATGACAGTATTCTAAATGCAGCTCACTGAGCTTCTTCAAGTTCGATATATCAGGTAATCTCTCAAGTGAATTGAGTGCTCTAAAGTTCAAAATTTTGAGATTCTCCAAATCATAAAGGCCTTGAATACCTGTTACTACTGAAGAATCAATCCTCAATTCTGATAGTTCCTTCAATTCTGATAGATCTATAGATGTTTCCATTGATTGAGATGATTTAACCACCAAGCATCTTAAATTTGACGGAAGGCTAGGGAGGAACTGTAAGTTAGAGCAAAGAAGTTCAAGTTTCTTAAGCTGAGAAAGAAGACCGATATCTTTATGGAGAGCAGTTATGGTGTCACATGACAACTTCAAAGACTCAAGATTGCATAACTGTCCAATCCACCATGGTGATGGATACTGTACAAGCTGAGATGATTCTACAAAAATAGAATCCTCTTTGGCCAATGGAACTTCTCGAATGTCTAAATCCAAATCTATTAAATTTATCAGGTTTGATAGATCAGGAAGTGTCGTCATAGATTGAGTGGAAATTTGTACACTGATCAGGCTTTCAGGTAGTCTTGGTACTTGATATATTCTAGTGCTTGAAAGTTTCAAGACCCTCAAAGACAATAACCTCCCAATACCATCAGGAATTGCCCCCTTCAAATGCCAACAGAACTCAGCATCTATCTCTTCCAGCTTCTCCAACATCCCAACTGAACTAGGTATGATTCTTATGGAGCTACCATACATCCTTAAAACTTTCAAATTCTTCAACTTCCCGAGTGAATCAGGCAGCTCCTCAACATGCGTGTAAGATAGATTTAGCAGGATTAGTGATTCCAAATTACCAATCGAGTCTGGAAGTCTCCTTAGCAACTTACACTTACTTAAAGACAAGTGCTCAAGCTTCACGAGCTCTCCAATTTCTGGAGGAAGTTGAGTAATTTCAACATTTTCCAAAGAAAGCCTCAATATCGACGTTAAGTTACCAATTGATCTGCAATTGTTTAGTGATAGACATTCACAAGCACTGAGAGTTTCCAGCGTTTTCATCCCTCTCCATTCTGGAATCTCTCTTATAGAAGTCCCGTCAATGAGAAGTTCTTTTAGAGATTCTAGGTTACATATCTCTTCTGGCAACTTGCGGAGTTTAATGCAAAACCTCAAGTTCAAAAAAACCAACTGCTTCAAATGCCCTATAGATATGTCAATTTGGACCAACCTTGCACAGTTTTCGAGGATTAAGTGCTCTAAGTTTACATTTGCCGAGAAGTCCGGAGTTCTATGCAAGTGTGCACAACCAGTCAAGTTCAAAACTTTCAAATTCCCTGCCATCTGTAAAAGAGCAATCATATAACTATGAAATCATGGATCAAATAAGAGGAGGCAGCCACAGAAACATTCTGTGTCTATCACATAATAATCTTACCTTGATGTGAGTCCAACCATCCCAACTTTCTGAAAATTTACTCCATGATAGATCGAGAATGACTATGTTCATCATGGAAAGGTTGATCAGTTTAATATCCAGAGGAAATTGATGCCATGAAAGCCATCTCAACTTGGAAAGCATAGGCGGACGCTTTTGTATGTTGGCTGCAAAATCATTTGAAGGCCAGTTTTCCGGGACGACCCTCATTTCAAGGTATTTTAGATTTGATAGCCTCTCAAATTCTTGGTTTGCATAATAGCATTGCAACTGATTGTCAAACTTAAGGGCAAGAGCCTCAATTTTTTTGGATCCCTGCTAGCAAGAAAACAAAAGGGAAAGCACATGATCTCTATTTAAATTCATTTATGAAAGAAGTATAATTTTCCCCAAAACTTGGAAAGAATATTTGAGCATCAGTCTAACAGTTGAATAAGCTATGACAGCAACGGAAAAGGCTTAAGAATAAATCCCCTTGGATATTAAGCACACAATTAAAGTGAAAAGCATGAACTTAGTCAGTTTGATGGGGACCAAATAATAGAAATTCAATGGTACCTTCTTTTTCATCAGAATGTCCAAAGCTTCCTCATGATCCCACAATCTGGTCTGTTTTTCCAATTCCATGTTACATTCTCGACGAACAATGTCTCTACCAAGGTCTCTTAGCTGATCGTGCATCCACAGCTTATTTTCTTCTCCAATTTTTATCAAAGACAACTGCTGAAGGACACGAAGGCCTTCACCTGGGAAGAGATTGGTTTCGTTCCACATGTGAATTACAATCCTTATATCAAATCCAACAAAGAGACAAGCAATATCCAGGAAGATATGTTTTTGCGAATCATCCAAAGCATCATAACTTATTTTCAGCTTTCTCTTGACTTCCTCATGGGGAACTTTTCTCAACTTCTTCAATGTAACATCCCAAACATCTTTGCTTTTGCCTGATAGCTGTGAACCTATTACCTCAAGAGCAAGAGGAAGACCTCCTGTAGTTTTGACTACTTCTGAGGAGAAAGCATCATATTCATCCGGAGGATAATCACTTCGAAAAGCATGATTGCAAAAAAGTTGAAGAGATTGATTGAAGTCCATGCTCACAAGCTCATAAGTACAAGCAACCTCAGGAACATCAACAATATCCTTGTTTCTGCTAGTTATAATAATCCTACTTCCTAAACCAAACCATGCGGGCTTTCCCATAAGTGAATTCAAATGAGTCCTTTTGTCAACATCATCGAGTAGAACAAGAACCTTTTTGCAAGACAACCTTTCTCTAATTGTCTTCATTCCTTCATCCACATTACTGATAGTAGTCCAGTTTCTTTTGAGGATATTGGAGATTAGCTGATTTTGCAAACATTCGATGCCCTTCAGCTCTGAAGTTTCCTTGATAGCAGAAAGAAAGCAACAATCTTCAAAACGATGGGATAGTTGGTTGTAGATGATTTTGGCAAGAGTAGTCTTCCCTACACCCCCCAAACCATAGATCCCAAGAATCCGTGTGTCCTCTGAATCTCCACACATCATTCTATTGATTTCTTTCACATGATTTTCAACTCCGACCAAGCAGTCGGTCACTAGCAAATAAGCCTTTTTCAACTCATCCACAACCTTATGGACAATCAGTTTTACGAGCTCTCCTTCGTGTCTTATGGTATCAAAGGGAAAAAGAAGAGGAATTAGAAAATCAAGGAAAAACTATAAAGAATGTTAAGCAATGACTGAAAGCTATACTAGCAACAAGCAAAATCAATTACCTATTGGTCGCCCGATCACTGTTCCATCCCTTTAGCTCGCCAGCCTCCTTGAGAGCAGCCTTCCACTTGCTAATAACCTTATTGTCAAATCGTTTCTCATGCGAAGCAAAGGCCTCTCCGTAAAACCCAGTTTGATGACGGACCTCAGATGGTGTAACATTGTAGAAAATGGGCATGATCTTCTGTCTCCTTGTTTTCCTACACTCCACCATTTGGACCAACTCATTCAGACACCATTTGCTAGAGGCATAGCCCTTGGAAAAGATGGGAATTGAAATTTGTGAATGGCAGATCGCTTTTTGTAACCCAGGACCAATCTCATCTCCTACTCTTAGTTCTTCATTGTCTCTATATGTGTGGATACCAGCAGCTAATAAGCTGGTATAGAGGAAATCAACAATGCCTGATCGAGTATCGGGCCCTCTAAAACTCAAGAAAACGTCGTAGTCATATCCAGATGACATGGAGGTTGATGATGGTGAGTCTTCCATCCGGAATGGTTCTTCCAGATGCAGCAACATTGTTTCTGGAACCTGTGCTGGGTTATGTGTAGTAGCAGTGGCTTCAACATTACTGTTGTTTCTGGGCAATAGGGATGCACAGCCACCAATAGAATTGACCTCAAATTCCTTTTCTGATACAGGTGCTATTCCTTCTTCCCCGTTTGGAAACTCTGTCTTCACACCTGTTTAATGTTTACCCAGCAAGACACAACAAAGACGATACAGTTCATTGAACCATACAAGATATCTCAATAGACCTCTGTTTTGTTTTGGAGTAAACTGATGAGAGCACCACTTGATTTAGTATGGAAAGGAAGAACTGACAAACACAAAAAACAACAATAACTGCAATAACAACCATTTAAAGAACAGGACAGTTAAAAAGAATTTTGTTTCCACATATCACCTATTTAGCATGGTTACTTTGTAAAATACACAAAAAATATGCGGGTAAATCCATCAACTTCAGTCGGACCATGTTAAGTAAGAAAATTGTGAAAGAAAAACTGAATAATGCAATGGAGGTCTAATGGTATAAGAAAAAAGGCTGTTAAGATTTTCTCATTTGTTGTACCCAGATTTGGCAGCAATTTACTCGCTCATCAGTATGTCATTTCAAAGGGGAAAAGTCATTAAACATGAGTTGATATTTATTGACATGGCAATTTAACTGAGAAACTAAATGACCTCATAGTGGAGTTTCCAGATCAATTTTATTAACCATTGTTTCGAAAATGCTCTACTCAATGATAATGCTATTACACATTTCTCACACAATTTAAGGAATTATCCAGTGATAACAATAACTAAATAAATAAACTCATCGAGACTGATCTGTTGGCTCCAAGTTTGTGTATTTTGCCCCTCACCAAATGGTAGAATTCTGTCAGATGATAGGTGGACCTAGTGGGCAGAACTTTGAATGCATAAATTTGTGACGAACTAATTAGATAGTTCTCTAAGTTCAGAATTCTTCAGAAAATGATCCACTCAACAACACAAATTGGATGCAGAAAATTTTAAAACTATGGAGAGTAAAATGTTATTTTGAATTTATTACCTGAGATGATATCTTGAGACATTGCCAAAGAAGTGGATAGTTGCTGTTTGACGGCCTGCAGTTTTGGTGGTTTAATGATCATTCTCGCGAAACTTGCATATTGATACTGTTGGAAAGAAGGCACCAATTGTTCCATCTGAGCCCCTGAAGCAGAAAAGACAACATAATCATTTGGTAGGTCGAGCACTTCTTCTTCATTTAGCAGAGTTGAAACAAGCGGGGTTGGAGAAGGGGCACTGGCTGGGGGATCAGACGAAATAGCATTTGATGATGATGCCCCAGAGGATTGAGGGAGAGGAGGAGGACGAGGAAGAGTAATTAATGATGACTGAAATTGTCCTGATGAAGACAACAAGGAACATGTGAGGTTGGACAATTTGGAGGACTGACCATTCCTGTCCAATGTGATGCCACATTGTGAATCGGAGTTTTGATTCAGTGAAGGGCATGCTGATTCTGAAGGTGTGCCAGAACTAGCCAAAGATCCATCCTCAGCTGAATGAACTGCTGCTTCTAACTTGGGAGGTGGCATTAGTGGCAGAATTGAGGTTGACCCAGTATTGGACTGTACAGGCAGTTCTTGAGCTTCGTTCTTTTTAATACTCATATTAGCATCTCTAGAAGGTATAATAGAGTAGGCTGCTTGGTCTCCGGCCTGCGGTTCTTGGAGTTCAATCTTCTTTGTTCTTTCTGCTATTTGATTCTCTTTTTCCTCCTCATCATTGGGAAAATCAACCGGAGCGGCAGAAGTAGCAGCATCCATTTGCAAGGAAGTAATCTACTCACAAATGAGAAAAAGATGAATGACCTCTCTAGCAATATAAACACCACAGATGCTTAGTATACCAATGAAACAATACCTCTGCCCCAAATTCCTTGCAGATCCCAAATAGCTCAGTTTCAAAGTCAAGCATCAGAATATTCGCCCACATGAATGCTTTGTCAGACACTGCATCCACATATACAAGTATAAATTGAGACATTGTTAACAGAAGGCATCTGTCAGCAAGAACTTTTTGCTTTTTGGCTTAGAAAAATTACTCATATGACCCCCTGAAATGCAGTACCCTTTAAGAAACAATGCCGTATCATGAGGTAAATTAATATAAACACAATATATGTGCAGAATCACGGCCTCTGACCTAGCAAATTTCAAAGTCAGTTAACAACCAAGTCAAAATACAAGTTCATAAACTTGCAGAAGATAAGTGAGTGAAAAAGGTCTTTTACACAGCTGCAGCATGATCCATACTTCCTGAAAGCTAATGAATCGACTAAGGAACATGATTCCCTGAGTTTGTAGGATAGACAAAAGCTCTAAGGATTTTCAAAATTAAATTCCTACAAATGTTTATATCCTTTTACTAACTTGTTAAAATCACAATGAAGAGAGAATTTATTCCAAGACAATTTATTGTGCCCATAAAATCCATTAGATCTAACAAGGAAACACCTAGGGAAGTGCTTCTAGAGAAAGACCTTCAACGAGGAGCAAGCAACCCCCGGCGAAGCAGGCATGCATGTCTGTTGGTCCCACCATGAGTTGGTCAAATTGATTATTTATGGGGTCAGAAGACAACCGAGGCTAAGCAGCAGCTGCTCAAGGTTTGTTATCTTATGCGGCCATGGACCTATTAAGTGAGTTTTCTTTCTGTATAGGTATATCTCTGTGCTAAGCTGCGGATCCTAAGACAGGAATTAAACATGGCAAGCAACATGATATTAGCTGGCTGATACTATTGGTGACTCACAGTTAGTAGTCGAAATTACTTGATAGTGACAGGCAATGGCCCATAAAATCATATTTTCAGGGTTGGAGGGGTTTGCCATTTGGCTTGCTAATCATGGTTCGTTGACAAGAGGCAGACAGTTTTTCACATGCACCTCCAATCACAAATCAGACTGCTGGGAAACAAAGTTGTTTCTTATCAGACTTTGAAATCTGCACTTGACCCTTGCAGGGCTAACCCACAAAACAGGAAAACACATGCTCTCCAAATTACTCTTGAGATTTATGCACTAACACTTCAAAGCATCATAATAAGGTTCAATATTTTATACTGAATCAGAGAGACTTTCTATTAATTCTCATTTTCTGGAAGTACTTTTTTTTATGTTTCGAAATACAAAACTAGCAGTCACTAGTACCAGCCAAGTGCAAACGAAAGTGTCAAGGATCCTTGACCTGCAATGATTCACTTGATATTAGCAAACCAGAAAATACTGAGCATATAAAAGCTTACCATAAGCATTTTCGGAAACACTCAAAGCTTCATCTGGCAGTTTCCTGTGAAAGAATCTCCCAAGTGAGGCGATAATGTACTACAGTGTACTAAGAATCTAAGATCATATCCTTCCAAACAAGCATCTCAAAATAGTTTATATACACATCTCTCTTCTTTTTTCAGGTTGCTTGCTAATTAGCTTACACCCATATCACCACTAGAGAAAAGAAATGAGAGAAACAATGAAAAAGGTCATCTGTCTTCAGTATATGCTTGACATGTCATGCAGTTTTTGATGGACTGATACACAATTATTACCTAGGGACAGCTCTTTATTCATTAATTTCCTGAGGGAGGCTTCTTTTTATTCATGAAGTATTATTAATAGGCAATTACCATTATTAGTACTTCTACTTTTTAGTGTCATCGATGGGCTTTGAAGCTGCTACTGTTCGAGAGTGCATAAAAGATGCAATCTGGCTCACTTCTCTTCATAGGTTTGATAGTGACACGTCTGTAACTGATTTGTCTGTGTTTATTCTAAAAGATTGGATTGATTTTATGTTTGCTAAATGTGATCCTTAGAAGCCAGATGAACCATTGTGAATATTGGCGACCGCTAAAACAACTTACCACGTGGACGTGTCATGGTTCAATTCATTGATTTGGTCAGGCTGCAAGTCCCAGTCACTCAGAACACTAGGAATAAACAACTCCTCAATCATCCTCCGCACTTCAGACATTGGAGGGAGCATACCAGGACATTGGGCTACACAAACCATTGCCAGCTGCAGCAGCCCTGTTAATTCCTCTACATGCTGGTATGATAGGAGCTCGGGATCGAAAACATCAATCGTCCCATCCAGCTCCTCTTGAATCGTGCTATGGACCCAGCTGGGAAGATTGCAACTATTAGTAGGTGCTTTCCCAAGCAGAAGCTCCAGAAGCAACACCCCAAAGCTATACACATCTGCCTTTTGGCAGTCAGCGACCTCTGATGCAGGGTGAATGGAAGGTGTCTTGAGTTGGTTCAGGCCATAATCTGAAACCTGTGCATCATATGTTGCCGTGAGGAGGACATTGGATGACTTGATGCTTCCATGGTAGACATTGGGACCTTGAGAATGTAGGTACTCTATTCCCCGGGCAGCTCCAAGTGCAATGGCACGCCTAATTTCCCAGCTTAGCGGGCTCATTCCTGTTTCTCTGAATCCATGTAGAAGTGCAGATAAACTTCCCATGGGCAAGTAATCATACAACAGTGACTTTCCCTGGTACCCCCTCAAAGGAATTATGTTCTCGTGATCCATTGCTCCAAGCATTTCCATCTGCTCCTTATATTGCTCTGTAGATGAAGCCAAATCCCTTAGCTTCTTCACCACCACCGTTGTCCCTTCCTTCAAAACTACCTTGTAAGATGTCCCGATGCTCCCTTCCCCAAGAACCTCCGCATTAGCATTCAAAAACTCCTCGAAACTAAACGACATCAGTGGATTGCCTAAGAAGACCAACTTATCATTTTGTGGATTAATCTCTTTTTTCTCATTAAGCAAAGTTGACTCCAGCAATGGTGGGACATTAAGAGGAGAAGGGGAACTAGGAGGGGAAGTGGAAGAATATTTCGGTGAATTTATGCCGAACAACGTTGCAGAAGTTGATGAAACCGCAGGAGGAGGAGGAGGAGGAGGAGGAGGAGGCAATAATGATGAATAGACTTGTCCAGGAAAAGAAGATGTGTGATCGGACAGTAGAGATGGCTGACCATACCCATCCAATGTGGGGCCATGTTGTGGATCAATGTTTGGACCCTGTGCAGAGGGGGCTGCAGATGATAATTACATCCCATAAGACACCTTGCAGAATTGTGATGGAAAATGAAGAACACATGAAAAATACGGGCAAAATCATGACAATGAGCTCGTACATTGTCCAGTTTATAAACATGCAAACCCTTAATCAATGTTCATGAACTTGCAGAAGAGTGACTTCAATTGCAGATCGCTTACAAGTTACATTGAGGTGCAAGGTGATTAGAGCTGATGAGTCAACTAAAGAACAGGATTCCCCGAGTTTTAGGGCAAATACGAGCTCATGAGGATCCTCAGCAAATGAACATTTTAAAGGCTTTCATACCACCATTTACTAGTTGGTTCCTTTTGAAATGAACAAATTACTATTCCATCGCAATTTCTTTTATTGTTATACCCTAACATCATTTAGATTTTAACAAAGTATCATTTACAGGAATTGTTTCTTATCTAGTAAGCTCCATAGAAGAGTAAGCAGTCTCACTACAAAGTGATAAAAGAACTAAAAATGGCCTGGGATACGGGTTCTAGATGAGGGATACTAGAAGTGGACTCACAATTGTACTTGGTAGGAATTCAAAGTTAAGTGAACCGGCAAGGGAACAACTAATTTTTGAGGAAGGTAATGTATGTGCCAATTGGCTAGATGGTCATAATTTGTTCACTAGAGGCAAGGGGTTTATTCGTAATAGGCCTCCATGAACGGTTATGCTACTTCTGCAGGAAAACAAACTTGTTTCTGTCCTAGACTTCTGAATCTGTACTTGATGTCAGCAGATCTAGAGTCCCACGTCATAGTCAAATTGAGAAGAAACAATATACCGAGACTGAATTTACGATATAATTTTACAGAGTAACATGGCAGAATCTTTAGGATTTTTTTAATACTGCGCACTTCTTGAAATACCAGTTATAGTTGAAGCATGCAAAAACATTATTAACAACATTGTTTCCTCACTATGTAAAAGAGGCTTTCCCATTAATTTCCTATTGTGGGTGTACTTCTATGTCCACAGAGGAAGTTGCAATGAAACACAAACATAGACAGCCCATGAACACAAGTTCAATGCATCTGGAACGGTAGAATAAATAATGGCGTTGCTAGAATCCTGGAACCTGTCCATATTTTAATTTCAAATGATCAGAACCCCCCAATATTAAAGATAAGAAATCTTACCATATCCTCTTTCAGAAACTTCCAACAGCTCATCTGGCTTATTCCTGTAAAATCATCTTAAGTTAGGCCACAGTGAACCGAGATGAAGCCTTACCCTTCAAATCAAGCATCTTGAAGTGCTAGAACTTCTCCATTATTGAAAGTAGGAAAAAATAATCTGGGTTCACCAGTGCAGGAAGTATCATGCACTTTTTTGTGGAGAAAAATGATGGGTGCAGGCCAAGAGAAAGTATATATCTTAGTTAAATCTATGCTAATTTAAATTTCGAAAAATCTGTTGCTACGTTAACACCTTTAGATGAATAGAATGGTTAGGCGATTTAGTCAAAACCCAATGATGTGAAGTCAGTGTTTAACATAGGCAACATCCCGAGTCAGCAAACTAATGGCTGCTTGAACGCAGTTTAAGGTGGAGAAACTAAAGGAAATGAAAAAAATGTGGGAATTTCTTAAATGATTGCAGAAGGTAAAAAGTAAATAGATTTAGAAAAAGTCAGGCATTCTCCTCTTCTTTTTCTTTTCCTATATGTGAATTTACCCTCAAACTTTTGTGTTCTCCTACCTTTCCCACTTCCCTTTGGTGTTTGGCATCAGTATCCTCTGTTTTCAACTAGAATTTAGTGGACATAGTAGAAGGTTAAATTGATTGCATACTGCTAAATGTGTTCGTAAAGCAGCCAGACATTTCAATAGTAGTTTTGGCATTCTGTAGACCAACTCACCTTGCAGCAGACATATGCTCGCTTACTTCATCGACCTGGTCGGGCTGCAGTTGTGGTCTTGACCGTGAGGCCCCATTCTTCCGTACGCCAGAAAAACGCAGGTCTTCAATCATCCTCCGTACATCAGACATCGGAGGGCGCATATCTGGATCCAGGGCTGCACATGACATTGCCACCTGGAACAGCACATCAGTCTCCTCCTTATCATCCTGGTACTTTAGGAGATCGTGATCAGAAACCTCAAACCTCCACTGCTCGTGAACACCAGACTGGAGGCGAAGATTGGCACTTTGAGGACCGGCAGGCACCCTATGATAACCTCCTTCTGGAATGCGCCCAGTTACAAGCTCTAGAAGCAAAATCCCGAAGCTATAGACATCTGCTTTCTGGGGGTCGGTTGCGGGGGAAGGGGTCAGGTAGTAATCAGAGACTAGCGCATCTAATTCACGTAAGGATGATGAGCTGAGGAGGATATTGGATGATTTGATGTTTCCATGGCAGACTTTGGGGCCTCGAGCATGTATATACTCTATGGCCCGGGCGGCTCCAAGGGCAATGCGGTACTTGATTTCCCATCTGTTTGCCGGATTTAGCTCCACGTCCAATTTTGCCCGATTTGGTTCTTTTACATGTAAAAATCCGCGCAAGCTTCCCGCAAGCATTAGATCATACACCAGAAGCATTTCTTCCCCAGATTCAGAGTAGTATGCCCTCAGAGGGAGTAGATTCTTGTGATCCATTGCGCCAATAGCTTCTATCCTCTCCTTGAGTTCGTCCCTGGCATCAACGTTCACATGCCCAAGACCAAGAGTCTTCACGACCACCCTGGACCCAGACTCCAGAACTAATTTGCGGGCCGTCCCTGACTTCCCTTTTCCCAGAGCCTCCGACTTCGTAATGGCCCTCAAGAAATCCTCCAATTCGAACGCCTTCTCGCCGAAAAACACCAACTTCCCAGCATCCCCTGCCGGTTCCTGGGCCTGAGCTTCTACTTCTCGCTGCTCGGGCATCGTACTCGTACTGTTACCAATCTCTCGCCTCCTAGAATTAGTTAACTTTCGTTTCAGCGCTTCCATTCTCGACGTCTGCGATTGCTGCACCATCAAATACAGCTCCTTTTTCTGCGACTGATTAGGCCGGAAGTGACTCTTCCTCGAAAGTCAAAGTCATGTAATTTGCCTTGCTTGAACCGGATCCGTTCTACATGCTCCTATCCTCTGTTTTCTCGAGTCCAAGAGTCGTGTTTCGAAATTTGTGTCATCATCCAGTTGGTCTGATCCTTCCTTCCGGTCGCCTATTCCTGTCCACAATTCCATCGGGCAACTTGCGCCACTCCTAAAATTCTTCGTCCCAGTTTTCTGGTAAACGCGACTATTCCACGATGATTAGTTGGCTACGGGTTGATTTCACACGGTCAAAAAGCCAATTATATGCTCATCAAAGGAATTGTTCCAAAAGCCAATCCTTGTCATAGTTTAGAGATCTAGAAAAGTTATTCCGATAGCGGCAAATAGACCTTATCGGTTATAATGAAAATTTGACAGAAAATTTAATCAGCAATATCTCCCTTCTCCAATGTTTTGCAACTTCTAGTTTCATGATATGTGAGTTGTGTTAGAAAATCTCACATCGTTGAATTAGTGTGGTGCGGAGTATATCCTAGTCATCGCTTTGCTCCGCTAGCATCCACCCCCGGAGTTGTCGTGCCTTGCTAGGGGAGAGTGTTTTTTTTTAATACATCTTATCTCTAATTCTCCTTACTCTCTGATTTTTTCTTTGCAACTTGCAGAGTGCGGGAGTCGAACCCCGGACCTGGATACTAGCGTCCCCATCCCCCAATCCCTTTACCAGCAGGACCGCATGTCTATTAGCAAAACACGAGGTTTTCCAAGTCTTAAAGATGAGGGTTTATCTTTATTTTTGAACTTGTATGTTTGGACTTCCCGAAAAATAATATGTAATTGTTTGGTTTTCCCATCGAAGTTAAAAATATTACTTAAATTTTAAAATATTATGAAAATAGGTTTATGTGAATATAATTACGTGTTAACATTTAATATACTCTGAAAGTTTTAGATCCTTGAGATTAAAATAAAGCCATAATACATGCGTCACATAATATAAAAAAAAAGTAAAAATCATTCCAAACAAGCTTTATGCATGACTCTCGTATAATTCCATGAATTAGCCAAAACATTAAATGTGCGTCAATAATTTATTAAAGAAACATATCATTTTAATATATGGCTACAAATTGGATAATCAAACAAATGTTTTCGGCAAGCGCTAGTTAAAAAATGCTATGATAAAATTCAAGAATAATTGAAAAAACTTACTTAGATTTTGCACTTATACGAATTTGAATTACTCACTTTCCAAAATAATCCACTTGCATTTCCAGACAAAAATCTCAACCTAAAAATACTCATTTACTCTGAGGTCGGGCAAATTCGGTTTGTTTCCTTTACGAGCAAAATGCAATTTTTCTTCATTAGAGATCTTTTTAAAAAAATTTGTTCATTAGGTTTCTTCTTCAATGTTGCTTCATCCGGCTGTTTTCTTCTTCAACATCTCATTCTTCTCCTACCAGTGATTTGAGTGCACAAATGAGAGAGAGAGAGTAAACATTGGCTTGCAAAAAGATGCAAACCCAGTGAACGGGTTAGTTTAGGCCTTTGACTTATACATATGGTCTTGACCAATTGGCGGGATTTGAACATGTGACCTCCACTTTCAAAACTGAAAATACCCTAATACCTCAACCAACTACGTTAACCCTAAGGATTAATTAATATTTTGTTAAATATAAGAACATTTAATTCAAGAATATTTTTAATAATGTTCGAAATAAAATATTTCGTTTAAGAGAAGTTTAGAGATGACAAATCAATAAATTACCATTTATCAGTAAACGTGAGCCAAGTGACAAAATTATGTCATATGTCCAGCCATGTGGCAATCATTGAGTCAAATTAAAGTGTCACGTGGCAAACATAGGAACTAACATTATTTCAAAATCCAGCTTTAATCATTACACACTAAATTCAAAATTGTCCACCAACTTCTTCTGTTTTTCAAAATGGTCTCTGTACTTTTTGAAAAGATGTATAGTTTATCCCTAGGTTGTCTTGGTAACTGAACAACATCTATAATTGATAAAAGAAAAATAAAATTGTAATGCATGGCTATAAAATGAAAAATCAAATAAAATTTTTTAGCAAGCAATTGAATTATGCTATGGTAAATTTTAGGAATAATTGCAAAAACATTCCAAGGTTTTCCACTAATATGAATTTGCATGGTCACTTTAAAAAAAAAACGACCGGTTTGAGAAAAAAAAAGTAGATAGAAAGATTTTGAATTTCAGGCAATTGTACACGGATCAGTACTCGTATTATACCTTGTAATATGCACTAAATGTTGCTTGAAATTGTGCATTTTTGCATGTTTTATTGGTAAAAAGTCAAATATCTTAAAAAATTTCTATATAATTATAGGATCAGACTAATGAGGACTTTCAGGACATGTTAAGCATATCTTTCTATTATATATAATTAAAGAAGCATATCTTTCTATTATATATAATTAAAGTCAAACTGAGAGAATGTATGGAAGTGAGTGGCAAAGAAAATTATGGCTTAATTCCCTAAAAAATTCCAAACTTTATGTCTAATCTCAACTCTGTCTCGAACTTTTTTGTTTAAAAAAGATTACAAATTTTCACTAAGGAAAATTGTCCAAAAAGTCCAAAACCTATTGCGCTATTGCCAATTTAGTCATAAACATTTCAATTTTATCAATTAAGTCATAAACGTTTTCACATTTTGAAAATTGAGTCCATCCAGCCAATTTTGGCCGAAATTCGCTAACGTAGACGTCGGTTGTCCTACATGGACAAATTTTATTAATTTTATTAGTATTTTTCGTATTTTTTAATTTTTTTTATATTTTTTTTTCCCTCTTCTTCCTTTGCCAGTCGCGCAACCTTAGCGATAGTCGGTGACCGGCCAGAGGCTATGGCCGACAAGGGTTGGCCTTGCTAGCCTCAAACAAGGGTCGGCCTCACCGGGCTCAAGCAAGGTCGCCCTTGTCGAAGGCCAGTGAGGGCGAGACTCAACCTCACTCGAAGCAAGCGAGGGGTGACCTCATCGACCGCAAACCTTGCCCAAGGCCGAACCTTGCCAGTCATAGCCTCTAGTCTTTGGGGTTTGGGATTTAGGGCTATAAGGTTTGGGTTTTGGGTTTAGGGTTTAAAGGTTAGGGTCTTGGGATTTAGGGTTAGGGTTTTAGAGTTTAGGGTTTGGGTTTAGGGTTTTGGGATTTTGGGTTTAGGGTTTTAGGGATTTGGGTTTTTGGGTTTATGGTTTATGAAATTGTTTCTCTAAAATAACATTGTTTCTCTTTTTGTTCCTGGGAACAAAACAATAGATTTTTTTTACTTCTTATATCTATTTCAAATCTATTTCATGATCACTATTTTATTTCGGGGGATAGAAAAATTAACTGACTTACACAAACGGATTTTCTTTGTGGCCGAATGTGTGTGTGTGTTTGCCGACGTTAATATAATCATGTGTTTTTTAAATCTTCTTAACGGGTGTCTTCGGAATACTTGTCAATTATACTTAATAAGAAAATGTTTACAATACACTAATTACACAAATAGCACGTAAAAGATAATGCATTGGAAATAATAATTTTCTTTATGCTTAACAAGGGTGTTCAATCCAATTATAATTAAGGGTGCGTTTGTTTCGCAGAAAACTCAATGATAAAGGAAAATGATTTCCCGGAAATATTTTCCAAGAATACGGTTAGTTTTCATTTGTTTAGAGATATATGATCGAAATCATTTTATGATGTTTGGATTTCATTGGAAAATGATTTCAATTTCATGACTTTATCTCAAGCAAAAAAAAAATCGATTTTTTTAATATTTTTTATTTTTTAAAAAATCAAATCATTAATTATTGGGAAAATTTCAAATCAGTACCCAAAGTGGGGTCATTTTCTCAAAAAATGATCTAAAGTGGACATAGTATCAAATAAGGGCCTGAAGTGCCCAATCAATCTCAAATAGGGGTCCGAAGTACCCAATTAGTCTCAAGTAAGGGCCTGGGTTCGTCGGCCGGTCAAATGCTCATCGGCCGGTGAGCACATTACTGTTCCGGCGACCGAAACAAGGGCAATTTTGTCTTTTTCTTTTTTTTCCTTTTTCTTTTTTTTATTTTCCTTTTCCTTTTTTTATTTTTTTCCTCTCTTCCCTCCACCTGCCATAGCCGGGGCCGGCGGAGGTTGCTGGCCTCAGGCGGGGGCTGCCCTCGCCGAATCTAGCGAGGGTCACCCTCGCCCTCGCTCGACGCCGGCAAGGGCGGCCCTCAACTGGGCGAGGGCAGCCTCCGCCGGCCCCGGCTGTGGCCGACGGAGAGAAGAGAGGAAAAAAAAAAACAGAAAAGGAAAAGGAAAAGGAAAAGGAAAAGAAAAATACAGAAAAAGGAAAAACAAAAAAGAAAAAACGAAACTGCCCTTGTTTCGATAGCCGGAACAGTAACGTGCTCTCCGGCCGGTGAGCATTTGACCGGCCGGTGAATCCAAGCCCTTACTTGAGACTAATTGGGTATTTCGGGTCCTTATTTGAGACTGATTGGACACTTCAGGCCCTTATTTGATACTATGTCTACTTAGGGTCCTTTTTTGAGAAAAAGACCTTACTTGGGGTTCTTAATTGGAATTTTCCCATTTTTTTTCTTTTTTCTCTTTTTTTTTTCTTTTTTTCTTTTCTTTTCTTTTTCCTCCTTCCTTCGTCGCGACCAATTGGTGATGGCAACAGCTCGCCAGCCTACGTCTTGGCAGGTCACCGAGCTGCCGGCCATTGCCGAGGAATGCGGCCGACAGAGGAAGAAGGAGGAAGAAAAAGGAAGAAAAAAAGAAAAGAAAAGAAAAAAATTTTAAAAAATAAAAAAATCGATTTTTAAAAAAAAATATTTTCATAAGAATAATTCCATTAACCAAGGACCCGAGCCTGAGCACTGAAGACCCATGCACGGTCTTTGTGGACTCAAGCCTAAGGGTTGGGGACTAGAGCTCGAGCGTCAGGGATCGAGCACAGCCTTTATGGACCTGAGTTTGAGTGTCGGAGCATCGGGTACGGGGCACTAGGGGTACGGGCTCGACCTTGATGGTCCCGGGTGTGGGCGTTGAGGGCCTAAGCCTAAGCACTGTGGTCCCATGCCTGACTTCAATGGATCCGGGCTCGAC